TAAACACTGAATAAACTATTTTTCCAGTTCCAGTAAAACTGCAGCTATTCACCTTCTGCTGGAGAATTAAGCATAAATCTCAGCTCTTACAAACTCCAGCTCACACTTAGCACCGTCAGATATATTTGTATTAATAATAGTTTGTGCTTGTAGTTACTATCCAACTTTTTTCAATTAAAACTGTTTTCCCCCAAAATAACTATCAAATAATGCCCAGGCCTCCAGTGCAAACGACATTTTACTTGTTCAGTAATGTAAGCAGAATTGAGCTGAGGAAGCAATGTTTTGATTTTTCAAAACCAAAACCAAGCATGGCTCAGATCCAAGGGAGCTGTTCTATTTTATGCAAACCACTAAAGTTTGTGGGACTAAAAGGAAGGCCATTAAATAGTTTTTGTTCCTTTTCTATAATGAATAAACCAGGGTGGTCTGGATATTGCAATACTTCATCGGTCAGGTTTTATTTTTGCAAATCAAACCAGGTCTCGTTCTTCAGATACAGTCTGACAACATTGCAAATCAGCACCCCAATTCTGCTCTCAAGTCCATGAAGGCAGGCCCATTTACCTCTAGGGAGCTCCATGAAGTTTTATCTACCCACACAAGTCTGAGTGCAGAACCAGGACACATCCCAGAAATAGTTCACACTTCAGTTTTATTTTACCCAGACTACCAAAGATTCAGGAAGGCAGGATGAATAAAAAGATAAGGATCTTGTGCAAAACAGGGGTTTTGAGAAAAAAAAAAAAAAAGGTCCACACTGCTTTTTTTTGTGCAAAAAAGAAACAGCAGAAAAGATGCTAATGAGATTGTAATTTATGCTAATGAGTCCCTCATTAGCATATTTTCTGCCAGAAGAACTCACTGCGAAGATGAAGCCTGACTGTTAAGGACAATGATTAACTGGAAAAAAATGTAAAAAAATATGTGGAGTGGTTAACAAATAAATAATAGCTATGGGCAATGTTTTTTAATTATTTTGAGAGAACACAATCATTTGATTATATATCTATCTAACTGTAAGATTATTATTTATTTTTGTTTCCTATAATATAGTCTATGGCGCCTTTTTTCCCTGGTTGGAATCTCACTGAAGCCAATGTAATTACTAAAAGTGTAAAGCAAATTCAGAAGTATTTTCAAGAAATCTTAAACTTTTGGGGACGAAGACTGTGTCTTCTTAGAGCTTAAATACGTAACCATTCTTCCAGTAGCAGTTGTCAGCAACAAGGGTCAGGATCCATATCTAGGGGGTTCTTTCAATAATGTAGCCAGCTGGCTTGAGCCCCCACTCAGTAAACTGGGAAAATTCCAACCTACCCACTGGGCACCTTTAGAAGCATTTCTTCCCCTCTTGCAAGCACAAAATCTGAGATAGAAACAGTCTGTTTAATAACAGTAACCTAGCAATAGCCTAAAAAATCAACACATAAACAAAGAAAAACTCGTAAGGAAGACACCATCCCCGGAGTCCACTGGGCAGAGTCCTTTGCTTCAAGATTTTTAGTCCAACATCCCAACTCACATAGTGTGCCCTCCACTTCAACACCCCACTCACAGCACTGTATCATAAGAACATAGGAACGGCCATAATGGGTCAGATCAAAGGTCTATCTAGCCCAGTGTCCTATCTGCTGACAGTGGCCAATACCAGATGCCCCAGAGGTAAGGAACACAACAGATAATCCTCAAGTGATTCTTTTCCTGTCACCCACCTCCAGAGAAACAGAGGCTAGGGACACCATTCCTACCCATCCTGGCTAATAGCCACTGATGGACCTAACCTGCATGTATCTAGATCTATTTTGAACCCTGCTAAAGACCTAGTCTTCACCACATCCTCTAGCAAGGAGGTTGACTGTGCTCTGAGTGAAGAAAAATTTCCTTTTGTTTAAACCTGCTGCCTGTTAATTTCATTTGGTAACCCCCTAGTTCTTATATTGTGGAAATAAGTAAATAACTTTTCCTTATTCACTTTTTCCACACCAGTAATGATTTTATAGACCTCTATCATATCCCCTTAGTCTCCTCTTTACTAAGATGAAAAGACCAAGTCTTTTTTACCTCTCTTCATATGGGACCCATTCCAAACCCCTAATCATTTTTGTTGTCTTTTCCTGAACCTTTTCCAATGCCAAAATATCTTTTTTGAGATGTGGTGACCACATCACAGTATTCAAGATGTGGGCGTACCATGGTTTTATATAGAGGCAATAAGACATTCTCAGTCTTATTCTCTATCCCTTTTTTAATGAATCCTAACATTCTATATGCTTTTTGACTGCCACTGAACATTGAGCGGAAGTTTTCAGAGAACTACAGGCAGTCCCTGGGTTACGTAAAAGATAGGGACTGTAGGTTTGTCCTTAAGTTGAATCTGTATGTAAGTCGGAACTGGCGTCAGCCGCTGCTGAAACTGATCAGTTTCAACCACGACTGAATCTGGACGCCAGTTCTGACTTACATACAGATTCAACTTAAGAAACCCAGGCGTCCCCAAGTCAGCTGCTGCTGAAACTGATCAGCGGCTGATTCCATGAAGCCTGGGGCAGAGCAACTCTGCCTCGGGCTTCCTGTAGTCAGCCGCTGGTCAGTTTCAGCAGCGGCTGGGTTTGG